TGAACACGAACTATATAAAAAAATTATTTATTTATTAATTTTTAAATTTGTAATTCATGATTGACTCATTAAAAACCTTACTAAGAAAAACCCAATTGGGGTAAAAACTTGGTAAGGAAAAAAGAGTGCAATAATTGTGGACGAATTACAAATTTGACGAACTTATAAAGTCTATACAAGATTACAATAACACTGTACAAAGTAAATAAATATTTACAAATTACAATAATAGAATTTAATTTGAAGCTGAAGGATCATCTTGAAAATTAAAAGTTAATATATTAAATTCATCGATCCATTCTTGGCTTGCCGGTGAAATTGTATGATCATGTAAGCGTTGGTCAGAACGATCCCAATCTTTAATACACACCAAAGCTTCAACAATGTCCTGTTGCAATGCGCTTCTACGTTCTTCAAGTATTCGGCTGGTCGTATTGAAGGCTTGTTCGGATGAAACAGTGGAGACTGAGATTGAAAAAATATTCATTGCCAGTCGAGTTAGGATCGGCCAAGTTAATGGAAATTGTTTGAGGGCGTCCAACTCGAAAGCGAGTTTTGGCTCGAGAGCAATGAGCTGTTTGGTGAAATCACGGTGGCCTAGCAAAGCTAAGATGTGCAAGGGAGTTTCAGTGAAAGTGGTGAGTGAAATCTTACTCAGAATTAATGGGTCCTTTCACCCTTCAATTGATGCCTCGTAAAGCCTTGTTATTGTATCATCTTCCTCACTGCTCCTTATTTCCATTGTTGTTGTTGTTGTTTTTTTTTTTTTTTTTTTTTTTTTTCCCTTAATGGTTGCGTACTATGTATACCATTGATCTTGCCTCAAATGGTATATTAATATAATAGAGTCCATTTGAATAAAATCAGGAATATGTTCCTTGTAATATACGGTCAAAAGTAAAGTCACATGCATTTCAACTTTTCATAGTATATGATTCTTAAAAAGATATCCAATATCATATTTTCTACGAATATTTCTGCTTCTGGACGACTTATATATGGTGACGCTGACTTCCCAGAGTGAACACCAACACATTTTCAAAGTGATCATACATATTATTATTCCCGACAATTCTTAGTGATGGTCCCCAGACGACCACTGACACTCTTTCATTGTGGTCCATTATGCTAGAAATTTTGGTACATTCTTATCCAACATTGATAACTTCTTTATTATATATCCAGTTGTAATAATTTTAAATATTAATTAAACATTACCCTCATGCATGTTAATTAAATTAATAATTTACATCGGATCAAACATGTGATGGATATTTCATATGTAAAATAATGCCATATCGAAGAAGGTTAGCATCACTTTTTACGTCATTCTCTGTATTTATTGTTTGAGTACATGAGTACTTTACCATCTCATTTTTTATTTATATAAAAAAATACATCATATTATAAGTGGAGTCCATGTGTCAAATAATAAATATAATGATCGATAAAAAGAGTAACACAAAGAGTGAGTGATGTTGCTATTTCTCATGTCATAACTCAACTGAAAGTCACCTCTTATGTTTAATGAAATCGTGTTAATTCGGACGTTGGAAAACCAACCTTAATTTGCTTCAGCATCACAGCCAAATGCAAAATAGTATTGCCATGCGCCTGCTCTTTCAAGTTGAGAAACTCTCCATTCTCAGAACCAACTGATTCCACCAACACTTTGAGAGCCTCCAAATGATTGTATTTAATGAGTTGAAGGTGAGAACACATCCTTCCATTGACGCCTCATAAAGCTTTGTAATTGTATCCTCTCCGGCCTCACGCCTTGTACCCATATTGCTTTTGTCTATGAAAAGAAGAGAAGTGTACATATATGGAGGAGTTTTTAATGTTTTTATCGATGGTTACTACTAAATATAAAAATTTAATGACGTGACATGATAATAATTTATTTTTATTAATTATCATAAATTTTTTTAGTTAATTATATATTTTATTATAACCGTCAGATTAATATCATACGACTAAAATAATAATATTATAAATAAATATTAATGTAACCATTAAAACTACACTTATATATATATACACACACACGAACAAACAAGTTCAAAATTCTATTTGTATGTATATATAGTCAAGTAATTAAGCATGTGAATCCTCAGAAGGAAGTGAAAATAATATGTATATGGATGTGTGAAGGAAAAAGTTGGAAACGCGAGATTGGTTCACAAACAGATATATGGCAACGTAGGCATGAATAATATTGCGCTCTAGTCCTTTTCTCCACTAGATATTGCATCAAATGATTACGGCCCCGTTCACTTCGCTGATTCAAGTTTAGAATTTGAGTTTTTCTACAGTAAAAAGTTCTCACAAACAATCACATCTAACTTTTTTACTACAGTAAAAAACTCTCACATAAAGTCATATCTTAACTCGAATTCTAAACTCGAATCAGTGAAGTGAACGGGGCCTACGTTCCTATTTTGGTTTTTTGTCTCTTTAATTTTTAAATAATTACACGATGCTGATGTATTCTATGGCGTCATATTTGATTGTATTGCAAAATCAAACATCAAACTTGCCGCAAGTTGTACTTGACGGTAAATTTACTATAAAATCTATGTTAAATTTAGCACGAATGATAACATTGTATTGGAGAATAATTACTTACTGTTTATTAATGACACACTAATTTAATATTGAATTAGAAATGCTCTAATTAGTAAAAATATTACAACTGTGAGATGTTATTTTGGTAAAATAAAAATGTAAGAGCATCTTCAAGGATACTACCTTTTTAGCCAAAATGACTAGTGATATGATTTTTTTTTAACTTTTCTCACTCCAATCATTAGTTAAATAATTAGCTATTTAAAAAAATGCACTTCACACTAGCTAAGATAGCTAACATGAAGGCTAGTAATTTAATTTTTATGTTATTTTATTCTTTAAAACCACTACTTTTCGAAGTAGTGAGTTAATTTCTTTCAAACCATAAAAATGCAATAGTTTAATAAATATTAAAATAATTTGTATTTATTTAAAATATAGAGTATGGTTCGTATGATCCACTCAAATTAAAAAAGATTTCTAACTATTTTAATTAAAATATAGTTAAACTTCAAAAAGTCCCCTTAAAGATGCTCTAACTCATTGATCGCGTTGGAATTATTTACAGAAAAAATAAAAAGAAATATTGGAAAACAGTAGACATAGATAGACTGCTTGGTAAAGTAAGGGTGCGTTTGGTAGATGGATCCAGAATCATGATTCTAGATCATGATTCAGAATCAGTGTTTATTTACAGTGATTCTAAATCATGATTCTGAATTATGATTTAAAATCAATGTTTGGTTTGGATGATTATAAATCATGATTCAAAATCTGATGTGATGTTTTAAGATTCGTTTGGTACGATAATTTAAATCAAGATGATTCTAATCATGATTCAGGAACCAGAACTATGATTCATGATTTTGGGTCAAATCATGATTATGAAACCATGATTTAGAATCATGGATTTGAATCACCTTAAATCAAGAGAGGGGTGGTTTTAAAATCATGATTTCAACTAGTTTAAGGAGGCGTTTGGTTCATGGATTAGAATCATGATATTAGAACTATTTTTGATTTACGTGTATTTTTTATGAGAGAAAATATTATAACGAATCACAAATCATGATTCAAATCGGGGTACGAATCCCCCAACCAAACAACTCCTAAAACATCACATCAGATTCCGAATCACAATTCAGAATCATCCAAACCAAACACTGATTCTGAATCATGATTCAGTATCAATGTAAATAAACATTGATTCTAAATCAGCATCTAAAATCATGATTCTAGATCCATCTACCAAATGCACCCTAAGTTTTTGTTAATAAACTTTTTAAATCCTTCTGTTGTTGTCAAATTACTGCTAAAGGTGGTGTATTATTTATTCTATTTTATTTTTCCATTTGTTTGATTTATGATATTGCTTGTAAGATTTATGAATTCATCGATTAGCAAATTTCAGAGAGAACAAAACAACAAAGAAACAAAAAACTTCCCCGAAAACATATATTGTTCCGAATGGGTGAGAGAATTGGTTCTTAATTTCGGTAAGAGATGTGAAAGGGTAACTTTCTTTGATATTTAAGTATAAACCAGTACATACATACATACATACATACACTGTGCACTTACAGCCGCAAGAAGACTTTAGGGACTAACTTGATATATACAAGGACTGTTTATGATAAATAGTAAAGAATGAAATCTAATTGGCTTCAACTTAAATGAACAAAATCCAAAATTAAGAACCCAAAACTTGCGCATATACGTTCATTAGGTGAAATCTCTTATCATCCTGTGTTTCACGGAAAAACTAAGCATTTTAACATCAAGTTATTCTTTTTGAGGGAAGTACAGAAAAATGGAGCTGTGGATCTTCTCTACTGCAAAACAGAAGATCAAGTTGCAGATGTTTTCACGAAACCTCTGCCGATTAACAAGTTTGGGATTTTCAGAAAGAAGCTTGGAGTGTGCAGCATCTAAACAAGGAGGAGTGTTAGACATGTGTTTAGGACTGCTGCCACATTGCTGAAATTGTTGCCACGTTGCTGAAGTTTTTATTATTATTTAATTTGAATGGTTCAAAGAAGTCTATCTAGTTTTCTAGGAGGTTGTTATTTTTCAGCAGATCATGTGTAGAATCGTGGCTGAATTTCAGGACCATGATGTTAATAGTTAGTTATGTTTTATCTATAAATTGTAATTCAGATTGCATGAACAAGTAACTCAACGTTTTGCATCAGTTCTTTTTCTCTCTCTCTGTTTTTCATTGTTCTTTATTTTAACGTTGATATTCCTTCATCACAAGCAAACATTGTTTCTGGTTTTTTTATTCAAATTAACAACACATATCAACTTTATATAAACGCAAATAACACCAATACATTAACAGCAATTCTCACAACACCCACTAAACACAGCTAATTAAGCTGAATTTTCAGAACCACCAAGTCAAATACATGAATCACATACATATAGTCCTATATATATCATTTCGTAGAGATCATATTCCACAACAAAAGTAGTCCAAATCAGAAATAAACTGTGCTTGTGTAAATCAATTAATCCTCCGTATTCTCGATTGGCTTCTTCTTCTTCTTCTTGGGTCTGCAGCAGCCGCACAATTTTCTCACTAGCCAAACGAGAAGGCGAATCGTCTGAAGCAAGCACACAAACGAAAGCACCCCAAACCAAGAAAAAACCAAGAATATGTATATTTCCACCATGGAATTGGGTGACACCATCCTCAACCCAATCAGGAAAGCGATAGCCATGAACGTAAGCGCTCCACACATGGCCATTGTCAGCAACCACATGCAGATCTTGTTCTTGATCGGGAACCCGCTCACCAGCAGCAGGATCGCGCTAATAGAGGCAAGGAACGATAAACTAATGCAAAGCAGAAAAATGGAGTACGTATCCGGATTTAGTTGCGCCATCACTGAGGTTCCTGCTAATATATAAGAAAAATTTTCAGTTCAAATACTAAAGAAGTAGGTTGGTAATTAGATTTATCTATTATTAAATGAGGGCACAAATATAACATTTTTGTTGAGAGGGGATACAACTACTATCTTCTTAATTTTTTTAATTAGGAGGATAATTAAAATTTTCCAACAATTAATAATTGTGAATTATTATGACATTTTACTTCATGTAAATATTTTTAGCTAGTCACCTCTTTCAGAAAAATCGTTGTATATTATTTCCTTTTGTGTATACTATTCCTCAGTCATGAGTATATATTGTATTTATTATTCATCTATGAATTTTGGCAAAGCCAGTCACAAGATTCTCTCCTCTTTAACTCTCTTTTTATACCTGCGAGGCACATGTTCTCCTTGCTGCACTTGAACATGCCGTTGAACGATTCGATCGTGGTTTCCTGCCATGTACCTCCCGGAGGGCTCATTGCCGTCGTGAACGTCATCGTCCCGATGACCGTAGCGACCACCATGATGGAGCCTCGCTTGTCGTCCATCCATTGGCCTTTGTATTTCAATAACTCTTTCAGTTTGCGCCACCACCTCCTGAGGAAGAAGCCGCCTGATTTCTTTTTTCTCTTGCTTGCTGCTAGTTGTTTATTATTTCCGGGTTTGTCGCGGTTTTGGCTTGATGTAAGGTTGGCATCCATGAGAATGCATTGGATTTTGAGGCTTTTGAAGTCTCTTGGGAATTGATCGTCGTCACCAACTAGTAGGTCACAAGCTCTGAGACCTTTGTGGTTGACGCTGGTTTCTGCTTCTGATCTTACTTCAGGAAGAGACAATAAGTATTTTACAGTCTGCAACAATATGCATATAGTTAGTGTACGCATATATGCAATCGGTTCGGTTCGTATTGTTTTATCACATAAATAACTAGATATTTAAATTTTTATAAGAAAAAATACTGTAATAGAATGATTTGCATTTTGATTTCAAATATGAATTCATATTCATTTGAAAATTTATTTGTAGTAATATTCATTGTTTAATTTGTGATTACAGGCTTAGGTACTTAATTACATACCTATTTTCATTAATGTTGAGAGTTCAAATTTTAATTACCTCACATATCCTGCAATTTTTTTTTCCTTTCCATTTTTATAGTATATGATTTTTAAAAAATATTCAATATCATATTTTCTAGGAATATTCATGTCTCTAGACGGCTCATATATGGTGACACTGACTCCAGAGTGAACACCGACACATTTTCAAAGTGATCATACATATTATTGTTCCCGACAATTCTTAATGGTGGTCCCCAGACGACCACTGACACTCTTATCTACAAGAGGAAATTTATACGATTGCGGTCAATAACTCAATAATAGACTATCGTGAGGATAAATTAATAGGCATTTAAAAGTACATGAGTTGATATTTTTATCTTTTATTTTTAATTTATAACTTTTTTAGTTAAATAATTACATTAATAAAAAGATATTTATCAAGAATAAAAGATAAAAGTCTAAACTCATGCACTCTTAAAGGTAAATTTTAAAGAAATTTTAGAACATTCTTATCCAACATTGATAACTTCTTTATTATATATCCAGTTCTAATAATTTTAAATATTAATTAAACATTACCTTCATGCATGTTAATTAAATTAATAATTTACACGGGATCAAACATGTGATGGATATTTCAGATGTAAATAATGTCATGTCGAGGAGACTCCCCGAGGTCTCCCGGGGGTCTTCCGGGGGTGTCCTGAGAGTGCCCCGGGGGTGATCCGGGGGTGCCCCAGAAGTGATCCGGGGGTGTCCCAGGGGTCTCCCGAGTCTCTGCATTTATTGTTTGAGTATATGAGTACTCCAACATCTCATATTTTATTTACATAAAAAAAATACATCATGCTATAAGTGGAGTCCACGTGTCAAATAATAAATATAATAAGTGATAAAAAGAGTAATAGAAAGAGAGATGCTACCATTTTTCTCATGTCATAACTCAACTGAAAGTCACCTCTTATGTTTAATGAAATCGCGTTAATTCGGACATTGGAAAACTAACCTTAATTTGCTTCAGCATCACAGCCAAATGCAAAATAGTATTGCCATGCGCCTGCTCTTTCAAGTTGAGAAACTCTCCATTCTCAGAACCAACTGATTCCACCAACACTTCGAGAGCCTCCAAATGATTGTATTGAACGCACAAGTGCAAAACTGTTTCTCCAACCGGAGTCATCTCGAAAATCGACCTCCGTTGTGCGCTAACAAGAAGCCTAATCACATCAACACGGTCTCTCATGGCTGCATAATGAAGAGGGATTCTTCCATCTTCATCTTTGGTGAAGCACATGATGATGTCTTGGTGATTTTCTTGTAACAAAGCTTGAACTATCCCGGCATGACCCTCGGCGGAAGCAAAGTGAAGAGGTGATCGGTTGCGGGAGTCCAACTCCGAAGCGAGTTTTGGTTTGTGAATCAGAAGTTGTTTGGTGAAATTAAGGTGGCCGAGGAGAGCTGATATGTGGAGAGGAGTTTCGTTGAAGGGTGTAAGTGAGATCTTACTGAGTATCAATGGATCCTTTTGGATTAATGAGTTGAAGGTGAGAACACATCCTTCCATTGACGCCTCATAAAGCTTTGTAATTGTATCCTCTCCAGCCTCATGCCTTCTATCAGACGAATTTTTAATTGTTAAGTTTTTATTGATGGTTATCGTTAAATATAAAAGTCTAATTGTATGATAAGAATCTATTTTTATTAATTGTATAAATTTTTTATCAACTATATAATTTATTATAACTGTCGTATTAATATCTAATTACAGCTAAAATAATTATACTATGAGTAAATATAAAAATAACTATTAAAATCACACTTATATATATATATATATATATATATGAACAAACAAGTTCAAAAATGTATGTATGTATATGTAGTCAAGTAATTAAGCGTGTGAATCCTCAGAAGGAAGAGGAAAACAATATGTATATGTGTGTGTGAAGGAAAAAGTTGGATTTTTAAATAAATTAGAAATTACACGATGCTGATGTATTCTATGGCGTCATATTTGATTGTATTGCAAAATCAAATACCAAACTTGCCTCATATTGTACTTGACGGTAAATTTACTATAAAATCTATGTTAAATTTAGCACTAATGATAACATTGCATTAGAGAATAATTTCTTATTGTTTATTAATGACACATTAATTTAATATTGAATTAGAGATGCTCTAATAGATAAAAGTATTACAACTGTGAGATGTTATTCTAGGTAAAATAAAAAAGTAAGAGCACCTCTAAAGATATTACATATTTCATGTTTTTAATTAAAATGATTAGTGATACTATTTTCTTTATATATTTTTTTTCACTCCAATCGTTAGTCAAATAATTAACTATTTTAAAAAATACATTTCACACTAACCAAACATAACTAGCATGAAGACTAGCAATTTATATTTTTCTGTTATTTTATTCTTTAAAACTATTACTTTTCGAATTAGTGAGTTAATTTCTTTCAAACCATAATAAATACAATAATTTAATAAATATTAAAATAATATATATTTATTTAAAATAGAAAGCATAGTTCAAATTATCCACTCGACTAAAATAGCTTCTAACTATTTTAACTAAAATATAGTTAAACTTCAAGGGGACAAGATACTCCAACTCACTGAACCGCTGGAATTATTTACAGAAAAAATAAAAAGAAATATTGCAAAACAATAAAAACGGACGGACTGCTTGGTAAAGTAAGTTTTTGTTAATAAACTTTTTAAATCCTTCTGTTGTTGTCAAATTACTGCTGAAGGTGGCGTATTATTTATTTTCTTTTCTTTTTCCATTTGTTTGATTTATGATATTGCTTGTAAGATATATGAATTCATCGATTAGCAAATTTCAGAGAGAACAAAACAACAAAGAAACAAAAAAAAACTTCCCCTGACATATACAAGGACTGTTCATGATAAATAGTAAAGAATGAAATCTAATTGGCTTCAACTTAAATAAACAAAATCCAAAATTAAGAACCCAAAACTTGCGCATATACGTTCATTAGGTGAAGAGAAAAGGCAATTTTCATCAATATTTTCAGCCAGATTTACTCCCTTGAGTACTGCATTAACTCAAACCACTGCGACCAAAGAGGGAAATGGAGAAAAAAATACTTCAAACTGGAGCCCAGTTCTACAAAGCATTTATTTAAAGAAAATAACTGAGGTAAAAAAAAAAAAAAAGAAAAAGCTTACCTGTCTTAATAAATCAGCAAGGGTTTTGGGAAGTGCCTCAATATTTCTTAGAACAATATAGAATGGAAAAGGAAAGGAATCCAGGTACATGGAAAATTTGATGCTTCCGCCCTCAAAAGACGCTTCCTGAAAAGCCCGGAAAGGGAGGAGAAAAACAATTTAAGAAACAAAAAAATTAAACAGAATACCCCATTTACCAAAATTTATTTAAATGGATAATTAATATAGCACAGATTATTACCATGAGATCCACAATGGACTCCTGGGGACTGTCGAGTAGCAAAAACGCAACCATGCGCTTTCTACTCAAGAAATCTCTGACACAACGCTTCAAGTTCTCCTGGAGGAATATGAATATGGAATATAATTAGCACAGTACTAGAACAATAAACAACTAAATTTTGAAGAGTTGTGCATACGAAGGCATATGCCAAGCCGTTGCCAAAATAGACGATACCTTCTCATGGAAACGACCATCCGCAATTATCAACACAAGCTGCTCTAGTGGGTTCTGTCCAGACGGGAGCCTTGCTTTTGCAACCGCTGCATCCAGCTTGTTGTTTAGATACTTCAACAGATCAACAACTGGTTCATCAGCAATGGTGTTCTCTTGCTCGAAAGTGAAACTAGAGACCATCTGTTGTAAACGGCGAAAAGCAGTATAAAACGTCAATACAAGGCAAAAGAAATAATCTTCCATATTTAGCAACTTAGATATTATATATATATATATATTTTCATAATTTTTAGACTTTTCACATTTTGGGCACTTACCTTGACCCCAGTCTCTGCAGTGAAGGGCTGATCAAAATCATGAAGCAGCCTTATATTGCCCTTCTTTCCAAAGCTTGTAACAGCTAGATTTCCCATTTCCAATTGAGACATGGCGCGACATACTGCCACCAAAGCTTCAATAGCAACATTCCCGCAGCAACTCTCAGACATGCTACGGGAATCATCCACAGCAATGACAACTTGGTAGTCTCGTTTGTTCAGTCGAGTCCTTCTAAGCCATATTTTGTCTCTCCTAAAATGACTTGCTATGTATGGGATAACCTAAATATAAAAGAAAATTAACAGAATTAATAACTAGATGTAGGAAAAGAAATGCTGAAAGGAAAGTGGAAACTAGGGGTTTAGGCCTCTAGATTCAGGAGTACATTCACCTTCTTCATGTTAATTCGTTTGCCAGTCTTGTAATCGCCTTGAAGCTTGCTCGCTACTGTAGGCTCCATAACAAGACGCAACTGCTCGGCCAGCTCCTGAGATAACCTTGTTGTGCTCAACTCACATCTTCTCCATAGAGCAGTGGAGTCATTTAAAGCCTCGGTTGAAATATCCCAATTATCCTGGGGTTTCCCCAACTCACTGTCATTTATTGAAAGCTTACCAAGCTGATTTACACCTTCACTGAAATAAGACTTTCTGATGGAAACAATACCATCTGATAAACCTTTGAAGTCACCATGCCCTTGAATTTCTTTGGATTCTTCTCTAGGATTGTTCTCCAAATCCGGGACAGGCATTTTGTCCTTGAACTTACTTTTGAGAAACGAAGCACCATTCTTTAGAGGGTGCCTTTCAGAAGTCTCTTTCTCAATTTCCATTTCTGTAACATCATCTCTATCAGTGGTTGGTTCAGTTCCATTGGCCTTGTTTCCATTAACATTACTGTCAACCTGCTCAGATGTTGCAGGTCCCAAAGCTTGAGATGTCCCCTTTTCAAACTCAGATACATATCCAAACTCATCTGCATTTTCATCCTGGATATCACCTTGAGCGTCTGTGTCATCTGCCTTGAGATCAACGCCAACTTTCACTCCTCTCCACTCCTTTAGCGGATCACCACGACTGCGATGAGGATTTGGTTCGTTTTTCTGGACAGATTCATGCCCAGGTAATTGACTTTGTGGTTGGTCACTACTATTTCTCCCACTATTCATTGACTCAGACACCATTCTGTCCAGCTCAGAGGTATTGCCGGATGGTAAACCTCTGAGAGGAGCAAGGCCACTATGGGTATCGTCGTTGTTTGACCAGTTCATTTCTGGTGCTATATTACTTAAATCCGAGGCTTGCAAATCACTCTTGGGTTGTGTTGAAGATTCCGAATTGGGCACAGAATCACCACCAAAGGAGTCTGACGTCCCCAGTCCCAACATTTCTCTCCTTGATCCCATTAAGTTTGTTTCAGCATTCTGCTCTTGATCCCCACCTAATTCATCCCTTTCAGAAGTTGGATCCAACTGCCCAGTCTCCACCTCTTCCATGGTTTCGTCTGTTGGATGTGGGTTCTCTTCATCCGAGTTTCGATAATCAGCAGCCTCATCCTGCAATTCACCTTCAGCTTCTTCAACGGAATCTATACCCTCTTCTTTATCCAAGTCCATATCTTCTTCAAAACTTCGCTCCACATCATCAGGCTTCATATCTGTAGAATCTGCAAATGCTTCTTCTTTGTCCAAGTTAACGTCTTCTATGTTCTCACCATCATCACAAACATCATCCTGTTCTCCAGTCTCACCATCTGATTTATCAACTTCTTGAGAGTTGAACTCACCTGGTTCATCAGCTGTAAAAGCAGAATCATCCTTCGCTCTGAGCTCCCTAGAGCTTGCTTCTGTATCCTTAACTGAAGGCCCAGATTCATATTTTTCAGGTGCGTCATTTGGACTTTCATCTTCATCCTTATTCCATAGTTTCTCATTAACTACTTCACCATCAGCTCCAGTTTCTCCCATAGCAGAATCTAAATGCTCATCCTCGCCATCTTCATCCATATCTTCTTCAGAGTCCTCACTGACATCAAATGTATCGGCATCAAAATCCTGATCCATCTCAATACCTTTATCATGCTTATTTGGGGCTTCACCAGAGGCACCTTGTTCTTCTTCAAGCTACAGAAGCACGAAAGGAAAATTCGGTAACATTTAAGTGACACCATGTTAAACATAGGCATAAGATGACAAATTAAAATTGTAAAGGCTTCAACTTGATTTTACCTTATCAGATGCCCCAAGAAGCTGATCTTCATCAGTTATCTGATCACTGACATCCTTTAGTCCTACACCCTCTCCCATCCCGGTTCCACTTGCATCTTGAGGTGCATCCTGCGTACCGTTACTGACTTGATCTTCAGAGGAGATGCCAAACCCTCTTGAATATAGAGAAGCCAGAACATCTGCGAGCACACGAGTCATCATAGAAACCTGCATTGCAAGTACTTGAAGTTACAAACTTATAAAAGTATGAAACTTCACGAGTCACAGAAATGAAGTATATAGCTTAAAGGTATGTCTAAATTGGATGGAGCCATAGGACCTTTTAGTTGACATGAAATTACATAAAGACGAGTGGATAACATTTTGGAGTAGCCTGCGGAAGGCAGAATATATGCAGGTTTGCGAACAGGATCCAACTTACTGTTTTATGCATGTCTAAATGTTCTTGCAGGAGTGCATCACCAAAATTCGACAGCATGTCCAAAAACACCAGTAGATTCTTTAAATGAGATCCAATTTGGACAGCCAAACTCTGAAACTTATCCGCGGAATCTTTAAGAAGTTCCTTCTGAGAAAGGAACATCAAATAAATTATCAGGTATTCCTAGAGAGAGAGAGAGAGAGAGAGAGAGAGAGAGAGAGAGAGAGAGAGAGAGAGAGAGAGAGAGCTAGTTTGGAAAAAAAAAAGAGAGAGAGAGAGAGAGAGAGAGAGAGAGAGAGAGAGAGAGAGAGAGAGAGAGAGAGAGAGAGAGAGAGAGAGAGAGAGAGAGAGAGAGAGAGAGAGAGAGAGAGAGAGAGAGAGAGAGAGAGAGAGAGAGAGCTTTCAAAGGAAAAGGGAGCCAAGGCAGTCAAAACTTACAGCACAAAATATCACTTCCAGAAGCTCAATGCATAAATGTTCCAAGCACAAGTTTTTCACCAATGAATCAAAGATGACACTCCAAGAGGTAATGCTCCCCCCTGACTCATCTGGTACGCTTTGTCCATTGGGTGGTGAACATAAAATTTGCATTGCCTGCTTAATACGCTCAATTGTCCTTTTGAGGGCGGGAAGAAATTTATCATCGAGTTCAGAAAAGCCCTTATTAAGAGTACGAAGTGACACATTTTTCACAAGTGTTTCTGAAATGAACTCATCTTCCACTAATTTTTTCTGCAAGTTTTCAAAAATCAAATATAAAAGTCAACTGTTGAGACTATAGCTTTGATCATATATGCTAGCAAGGGCAGATAAATAATAATAATTATGTTCTGCTCAATTTTATGAAGAATCAATTTGAAACCAAATTTACAAATTCAAAAGTTAGAGCAGTGGAAAAAGAAATAACGCCCAAGAAAGACCCGTAATACCTTATCAAATACTGCCTTAAAATGACCGAGCAAAGTCTCTTTAACTGAACTTCTAACCCCATTACTGACAATCAGGCCATCAAGATGTTTCTTAAAATCCTCTATAATCTGGAAGTTTTGAGACACCAATGCTTCCATTTGTCTTGAAACAACAAAAAGATATGGAGAAGCAGGCACTATAGTTATATCTCTATCTCCGCCAAGAAGATTATTATCCAGCAATTCCTGTTGCAGAAGCGTACATCAGTATAAAGTAAAAGTTACCTGAATTACCTGAACATGTAATATAAGATAGAGGATGATAAACTTCACCTTCGAGTTCTGAAAGATAGGAAAGAATTTCTCAACGAATTCAAGGATCTCATGTGATGAAGCTTTGACATTTTCACAAGTTTCTGAATGGTTGCGCTCAAATGTTCTCAGCAACAACAATTCATCGTGTGAAATAGAACACAAACTATCAAATAGTAGCTGCAATAACAATAAATTATTATTACCTTTAGGCTCTAGCAGAGAAGAACAGAAACACAATCAACAAAAAATAAGCGAATCGGTATGATAGCTTACTTTTTGCTGCCACATGCACTTGAAGATGGCATCTTCATTTCTAACAATATCAAACATGCTGTGACTTCCATCATCTGAACTGGTGCAATTTGAATGCAAGTTCTTCAAAATAGAAATGTGTTCCTTAAAGCACTTCAGATGCTCAGCGAAAACCACAGAAGCAGCATGCTGCTTCTGTTGTATTTCAATAAGCTGGTAGATAAACGAACATGACCTCTCAACCTACAGAAAACAAAAATAATCAACCCAAACGAAGTAGACATCATAAAACAATTAGAACTTTCCAACCAAAAACAAAAAAGAAAATATAGTGAAATTGCTCTCTCAAAACACCAAGATAGTTTTATTCACCTGTTCAAGAGTAATATCTTTGTGAGAATTCAGGCAAATCTGCCGCAGAAGCAGCACAGATGCTATGGTCCTGAAGTAGTACTCAGTAGCTGTTTTCCACTCAGAAGACAAATAATTAAGAGGTGAACTTTCAGGTTTGCTCAAAGCGACAGCAGCATTAGAAGCTCCATATGTCAGTCTGTTTTGAGCCGGCAGCAAATGCTGTAACTCATGTGAGGGCTCGAGGAACCACCAAGACTTAACTTGATCCTACATGTATACAGTCATCAGAGAGGGATATTAATAATAATCACCACTGTTGTCTTGTTAAAGAATCTAAGCAACCAAAATAGTACAAACTAAGATGAACATCACATTTACCTCTATGTATACGGCCTTATGCCTAGACAACCCACTGCTCTCTAACAACTTCAAAAGTTCAGACAAAGCCCTTCTCTTTTGCTGACTCTTGTTTTCTTCCTTCCAGAGGTCACCACAATCCACAACGGTTCTAAATATTCTCTCAAGTCGGAACCATACAGCATTCCACTCGTCCTTGTACAAGCATTGTCTAATCATACCTGAAACCCCTCAAAAGATATTAGCATATCAGAAGTTAAGCAAAAATCCAATTTAACCTCAGAGTCATATATACATATATTTATAAATATTTATGAGTATTAAAATTTATTTCTAAATATTAAAATATATAAATATATAATATTAGAAACAACGAATATGAAACAAACAAGAGTACAACCAGAGAGGAAAGTTCCGTCACCTTTGGACAGTGAATGTAGAGCACTGAAGTTAGGATTTTTATTTAGTTTTAAACTTCTAATAGCACCCTCCACGTTCTTCCTCCACTCAGCATACCATTCAAACCTATATTAGAACCATCATGTAGAAGTTCAAGAACATGGCCCAATAGGAAGTTCAATGATAATAAAAATCACTTGAACATAAAAACAAACCTGTCTTTGTAATCGCGCAGGGTCAGATCAGAAGAAGCATCAACCATCCTTGAATTTCTTTCCGTACAATCACCAAGGAACTTCTGACCATCCTTAGATTGAATTGTTTTTTTCAGTTCAGCATCTTGGTTAAGAAAAAGCATTGCAGGCTGCTGCAGCAAATCCTGTGCAAACAAAAATAAGAGGCAAATGATTACTACTTTATGAGTGCATTAGTGTTCACTAAGCACGCAAGTGGTAATTAAAGAAATATAAATCAGGTGGTACGTGGTTGTAGCACAAGGCCATTCAGACAATGAAAGAGAAAGTTCAAGTTGGCAAACTTAAAAACGCTCACACACTTAAGCATAAACCTTAGTAAATTACTTTATTCTCATTTGTGAAATTTCGAAAACCTAAAATGTTTTACTGAAAGATAAAAACATCTAACAGTTGTGTCACTCACGTTGTACTTCTGTATGAGCTTCTTGAACTTCTGTCTGGTCCTCTTCGAGTTCTCGATGGACAGAAAACTCTCTAGGCGCTCCCATGAACATAATTTCAGAAGTTCCTTCAGTTCCTGCTCAATCTTTTTTCTGCTATCTTCTATGTGCTCCAAAATACTGAAGTCCAAGAACAAGGTCACAAAAAGTAGAAACATAAAGGCCGCATTTGGAATTAATCCCGTTTTTGTTTTTCACGTTTTTCAAGAAAGAAAAATGAAAACGTTTTCAAAACGACGTTATAAAGACAAAAAACGGAAATTAAAACGATTTTTTGGTTTAGTGTAAAATGAGAGAGATGAAAAACGACTTAGTCGTTTTTCATTTTTTGTTTTCGTTTTCTCCTCTCTCGAGCAGAGAGAGAGACATTAATGAGTTTTTTTATACTAAAAACAATCTCTTGATAAAACTACCAAACACATTTTCAAAAATGATTTCTGTCTGAGATTGAAAACGTTTTCATTTTCATTTTCATACAAAAAACAAAATCTCCAAACGCACCCAAACAATCTTCATCATGGAGAAAAGTTACAAGTAACTGTGGACAGGTTTACACACCGTGGTAAGAATTGCACATAAAACCCAATAACGTTGAATAAAATCTTCATCTTTTCCTCCTCATAGCAGCTCAAATCCATATTTTCCTTCTCACACCAACTGTATGGACCATTATCAGTCAACAAATGTTAAAAAAAGAATCATACGTATGGAAAATATTAAGAACTAACTACAGAAACATAATGCCATACTAGAGTTCAGAGTCGAGAAATTTTTATGAGGCTGTCAGTTGTCACAAATAAGTCAATAAAAACAATAAAGATTGCATTATAAAAATGTCCTCTATTATTCTTTAAGTTAAAGTACATAAGCTGAGTTTAGAATATGGCATAGCATTAAAATCCTACCGTGGATCAAATTTCAGGCAATGACAAATATGTATTTGACCAAGGAAAGCAAAAAGAAGTTGAAGGCGTCTTCTAAATTCACCAATGCTGGAACTTTGGATAAAATCTTCGAAACTGCAAGTTATGTTGTGTCAGACAACAACTCCATTTACAATCAGGTTAAAAATTTCTAATGAAGCAACCATCCAATTATAGTCATATCAACATGCAGTTTTGGGGATACCTTTGGATACTATTGCTCGTTCCAGACCAACTTTTCCCTAGAAGAATTGGATAAAGAGGAAACCACAACTGCAAAAATAAGAAGAAAAAAATTAGCAAAATAAAAGGAAGAAAAAAATCCTTGAACTTCTAGATCCAAGAATCTTGAAAGATTAAACCTAATAAAGGGATAAAAAAGAATTTCACATATGAGCGATTACAATTGTCATTTTCAGTAGGGTGGATCGACATGACTGAAATTACCAAGTAACATAATAGCTACTCCAAGACCTTGTTTGGTAGGAGAGAAAAGTAGAAGGACAAATAGGCGTGAAAGAATTAGTGGATGGATTTTTAAGACTTGTGGGTGTTTCGTTCAAGGGATTAGGAGATGGAGCGGATTGTGTGAGGGATTCAAAATGACTCCAATTTAATTATATGGGTTAGAAGAGGGAGTACATATCATGCACAATAAGAGTGAGGTCCTCTTTTTCTCCATTTTCCTCACCTAAGTTATATGCCTTTCCTTCATTCCTATTTTCTTTCCCCCAAACACAGTTTTCCTATTTTCTTTCCCTCAAACACAGTTCTAAGTGAAATAGGGCTTGTTTGGGAGAGCTTCCTAAAAGCTGCTTTTGGCTTTCTGACTCCAAAAGCTGCTTTTGGCTTTCTGACTCCAAAAGCTGCTTCTAGAAGTGTTTGGATGTTCTGTCAAAAGCGCTTCAGCTTTTTAAAAGAGTTTCTAGTCAAAGCCACAAAATGTAGCTTCTAAAAAAACGCTTTTGAATAGACTTTAAAACTTGTATAAGAGTTTCATTAAGACATTGTAAACTTCATTCCACCACTTTTATTGCTTATTACAAAATTTAAAAATTATTTTGACTTGTTAAGCTCTTTTAATCCAAACACTTACCGAAAAACTATAGCTTTTACTTCTCTTTTTCTACTGACTAAAAGTAAAAGCAAAAACTCTGCCAAACGGGTCCATAGTGAACTCCCTCACCAAAATGCTAGTAGAGTCGGTAGTTTACCATAAAGTAACGTGTAATATTAAAGCATGAGTAGATCTATTTTCAAATATGTTGTTTCTCGTAAAGCATGAATGCAATAGATCGACAATTATTATTATCATAGTTATTTCTCCAGCCCTCCAGGATATCCAAGCTTTCCCAGTCAATTCACTGCCAAATTACAAAACGCTAAACAGTAATTACCTTTCCAGCATTAATATCATACTGTTGCTGCACCTCATCAAGTAAGACCGGCCATGACTCAAACTCCAACTTTTGCCACGAAACCACCAGAACAAGAATATCGTCCAGTTGATCTACAGGCAGTCATGAAAAAAATATCAAATAGGAAACCAATACTTACCTACTTCCTCCGAAAAAAAAAAAGAAAAAAGAAAAAAGAAAAAAGTAATACTCTTACCAGAGATAGGGATTTTTGAGCCATTTTCTTGTAGTATCCGTATATTATTAACTAGAAATTGCAATCCTGAGAGAACCTTCATGGAACAAAAGTAGAGATTAAGCCATTTTAAGAATGGAAATTTTGCAGCAACAATTACTGCACATGCAATTCTCACAAAGAAACACGCAATAAAAACCCCAAAAGTAGCAGTTTTATGAAAGTAAAAGTGTAAAACTAAACCCAATACTGCATTATCTAATGTGATTCTCACAAACCAATAGAAAAATATGACTACCTTAGCTAGTGGCGTGCTCAATGGAATATTCAAGAGCATTTCAATGACATTTAAGAGCTTTTGAAGTGCATGATCATTTTCCCATTCATCTAGAAGGGAACGAACTCGCTGTTCAAGAGGATTAAGTAGTTTTGCCATCTTAGATATCTCCAAAGCATTTGAATCCTGTTCCATAAGAAGAATAATATGGTTAACAACAAAGCAAGCAGAACAAAAGAAATCCGTAATGGGACAGCTGAGTAGCAAGACCTTGTAAAAATTATATCTGCGTGCTGACTTGTGAGATGAGACAAATTTCTTATCATGCTCCAAACAAAGACGGAACAAGTGCTCCGGTGCCAAACGGGCATCCAAATTGGACAAGAATGAACCCGCTAGACCTGAAAATCCAAAATGGTGAGCAGAGCGATATATAGGGGATAAGAAAACGCATGTGGTGAAGAGATCCCCAAAAATTTCACCTCTAATTATCATTGTTCCAAAAGTGTATGAGCCAATGAAGGAAAAGAAACGGTCTTCATCGGAGATTTGGAAAGCACCCTGCTGGATTAAAGAACAATATGTAAGACTGGACATGTAGGAAAGCATAAATATACACATAATCATCTCAAACATAATTTTTAAATAGACAAACTTTACATCTGACAGACCATTGGATGGGGTGATACAATCATGACAATCAAAAGGAATTGGAGCAATAAGCTACTTTTTCGATATTAACTTGAGAGAGCAGGGTTGATCGGCCTTGGAATACAATTAATAAGGTTTTGGAACAGAGTTTGACAGAAACATAGACAAATGATGCGCCTTACTGATGAGACAGTAATAGAATAAAAGAGCATAATAACTATTAGAAACAAGAACAATAATGCAAGTAATGTTGTTTTTTTTGTTTGTCTAAGCTACAGCCTTAAGCTTTCTGTTAATATTTACTACATTCAATCACGAAGTTCACAGAGGTAAATCCAAATAAGATTCTCAACCCAACAAAAAAAAAAACAAAAGATAGCGATGGTAAAACTTACTTCCATATAAGCACACATAAACATTGGTAAGTAAAAGTACATGCTCAACAAATTTTAGAGAGAACTTACAGTTATAATGGAGCTATTTAACCCAAATAAGTGATCGTGAATATGTACTACACTGTTCAAAACTGAATCATCTATAAGATTCCAGTCTTCCTCTGAATGATCTTGTTCCTTACAAGCATCCTCCTGCTAGATAAAATATACATCATAAAAAACAAGAAACTTCTTTTTTAATTAAGCAGGAAAAAAGATGCAAGGAGAGGATAAAACAACAAACGTATGTAGAGCATAAAGCAACACCAACTGATAACTTTGCACAGAACATATTGTAAGGATATATTCAATAATAGCCCTGTAAGAATATATATAAATAATTGCCGTATCTTACCCTTTGTTCATCTTCCAAAACCAATTCCTTCCATTCCAGAAAACTTTCATTTGCTAATGACTTGCCAAGAGTTGATATGTCAAGCTCAATAACATTCTCAATCTTAAATTCACGACTCCTGAACTTGTATTGCTGAGAATCATCTTCTCTCATCTTTACTTGATTCTCCTTCATATTCTTCCAAAAATCTGAAAATATCATGAAGGACTTGTGCGAGATCTAATTCAGAGCACAAATGAATTGTCAGAAACCACAACTGTAACTGCATATAGTTGAATTAAATGAGGAAGAAAACATACCAGAAAAGATACAGAATCCATGATGTGCACATTAGATACTGAATGTGCAGTACGGAAAAGTTTACTCTGATGCAGATAAGCTTTAAGCTGTGAACGAGAGACCTGTTACAAATGGGGTGGAATTTCTGTGAGTTTACCAATTCTCCCAAAATCTTAAGTTGTTAGGAGGTAGGCCAAAAATAGTTTTTATATTTCAACACTCCTCGTGCATGGCTTGGACAATGGCTAATCACATGGGTAAAAATTAATTGAGAAGCTCAACAAGTGAATATTAAATAATAACCCCAAAACACATAAAAGACCCAACATGTGATAACAATTTAGAGAGTGCAATTACAAGGGTTTGTTTCGTAAAAAAATAAATAAAAATAACAAGGGTTTGAACTTGGGATCTCTTAGTCTGAAACCGTGTTAGTTTACCAATTCTCCCAAAAGCTTAAGTTGTTACGAGGGTGGTTAGCCAATGATAGTTTTTATACTTAACAAATTCACACAGTAAAAATTCATTTAAAAAAATCAGCAAGTAAAAATTCAAACTCATGTAAATGCATCATCTTAAAGCTGCAGATTAAGGGACAAAATTTGGAGGACTTGAACTGTGAAATAACCTAGTAAATAATGATTTGTCCCAAGGTTACTATTTCTTAAGATGAAAATACCTCGGGCTGCTTGCTGTACAACATGTCCAACTTATGTGGAACGTCAACATCTTCAACACAAAAGTCTGCATAGATTTCTAGTTCATAAGGTGGAAACCCAGGCTGCTCGCTTTTCAACTTGATAGATTTGGTTTTCAATGGAGATGTTGAAGGAAACCTCATAAATGTATAAAGTGGTTCCTGCCAGACTCTTTAAGTCAGCCACAGAGATAACAACGAGGCATAAATTTAAGAACAGAACAATTCAGAAAGGTATCATACCACATCCATTTTGTTTTTCTCAACTCTACTCAACAAGGAGAAGCCCAATTTCAATTCATACACAGCAACCTGAACTGGTTGAACAAAGTCAATGTACTCGAGATAGTTGATTGATAATTGTTCGATGAAACGTGTTGCTGTTTTCTGGAGGACGGAAGGGTGGGGTAAAACAGGGAACAGAACAAATCAGTAATCTGTAATAACTAGAAATCTTTATACAAGCTCAAGCAAGAAAACCTAAACAGAGATAATGATCCAAAATACAATGAACTAGGAAATCAAAGAGAAGTAATAATACCTGCCAGTCGTCACAGATCTTCTTTAAGTCCATGGCTTCGATCTCAGTCCATAAAAACTTCAACTGTGTGACACGCTCTAGAAACTCTTCACACTCATGTTTTAAGTTCTTAAATTTCCCATAGTCGGAGCGGAACACAATCTTAACACAAAAAAAAAAAAAAAAAAAAAAAAAAAAAAAAAAAAAAAAAAAAAAAAAAAAAGAAAAAAAAAAAGAAA